ACCTAAAATGAATGGCTCAAGTTTGGGAATCTCCCTAACATCCTCAGCTATGAAGACCCATGCAAATAATTCATTTAGTTTCTTTGCAATGACTTTATCATTCCTGAGTACTCCTTTAGCATCTTGATCATCCAGGATGTGTCTAGACTACAGGTTTTTTCGAAAAAAATAGCCTTTTTTCAAAAAAACTTCACCTGCATCTAGACTGCTGCCATGTCCTTTCAAAAGTAAATCAAAAGAACACGGCAGTTTTTTAGATTGTGGTAAACCTCATTTTACAAGGAATAACACCTTTTTTTGAAAGTACTCTTTTGAAAAAAGGTGCTAATGATTGTAAACTGTGCTTTTTCAAAAGAGAGCATCTAGACTCTCTTTTGAAAAAGCGGCTGGCTTTTTCAAAAAATCTGCTTGTAGTCTGATGCTCTCTTTTGAAAGAGGCAATGGTTGTGACCTAGCTCTTCAAATAGCCCTATCAGTTTCAACTTTTTATTCCACTAGTAGTCCCATAGAATTCAGTCTCTAGCAAAGAGCACTTACGTTCAGTTCAGGAAGAAAAGACAGAAATAAAAAGGGCCAAATGCCATTTTCCATGTTAAAAACAAGCTAAGTCAAGTCAAATGGGGCTAAAGGAATTTAAATAGTTTTCAACTGAATGACCCTTGGATTTGTAATGGTTGTCAGCAGAACTGCCCTTGAAAGAAGTTCCAAACACCAAAATGTTGCAACATTTATTAAAATTAACTTCATTATGAACTAATTCATAATTTACAGTAACAAGCGATTTATATGAAATGAATTTGGTGGGAATCTACAGTTTCCTAAAGTTTCAGGAAAGAATACAATTCAAACCATCATTTTAGTTTCAAAAAGTTGCCATCATATCTCAAGAAGCCCATTAGGTGTTTCCTACAAGGAACATATAATAATGTCACACTAGAAATCTTTTTATATGCATAAAATCTAATAATTATATTCCTCTGGTTATTTTATCTTTAGTGCAGAGATGAATTTTAATAGGATAACTATATAAAAGGTCAGAGCAAAAGTTTAAATTAAAGAAATCTATGTTAGTTATCAAATGTTATAGAGAGTAATGCCTGCAAGATTGTTTTAAACTGTTAATAAGATTAAAGGTTAAAGCTCGTAGTGTCTGCATGGAATTAAATGAAACAGTATTTTTGAAGATCAAAATTTGATAGCCAGCATGAATGTTCAACAGATTGGCTCAGTTCTTCAACCTAAATATATCTTATATTTTTGCAAATTACTATCTGCAAAAATATAATTTAGTAAACAAAATAATCTCCTGTTTCTGTCCCCTCATTATAGGTGTAAGGGTTTATTCCAAACAAATCTAGATTCTGAAACAAATGAAGAAAAAATACCCGCCTCCACTGTTTGAACCTAGCTGTGAATGAAGACTCTGGATGTTTTTATTCCCTTAAAATTGACGTTGCAATAAATTATCCAAAACCAAACCCATAAAGGCTTTCAGTCCATTTTTCCAAAATAAATTAATACTGTGCTTGTTACAAAATCTAATTTTCATCAGTTCATTTTAGAAGCACTCTATATTAGTGTTACGAGAAACTTAGCCTGCATTTTATTACGAAATTCTGAATAAAATAACACCTGTTAACCATGAATGAGTACTAAATAAGTGGTAGGTTACAGCTTTGCCACATGCCCTATGGACAGAGCAGTGAAGGAATCAATTCTTTACCTGTTTCTTCTGACTTCTGGGGACTGAGAAGAGTGTATAGTAAATTGCTGACCAGCAGAATATTACAAATACACATCACCCCAGCCCACCTGCACAGGCTAGTGTATCAGAAGGGTCGAACACCCCAACATCAATGACCTGTCTTGAGGATTAAGTGTAGAAGTAGGTAGATAGCTATTCCTGAACCCAAGATCTGATTAGCATGTGTAGTGGAATAAGGTGAGAGCAGGGTTGTTGATAATGATTGTCCTTTACAACCTTCTGCTCATGGGTAGGCTAATTCAGAATTTAGCACAGAGTCTTCCATGACTAAAGGAATACAGGTTTCATTCTCTGGCTTTCTATTATACTTATGTCTTACGTAGCACTTGGGTATATACAAAATGCTGTACAAATATTAATTTAATCCACAATGCAGAGTTTCCAAATCATGGGGTGAAGCCAACAGATTAGCCAGGGGGGTGCAGTGAAATCTCTCATTTACTCTCACAAGATCAATCTTCCATTTTGATAAAAAAGGCACTAGCTGGTCTAGTTGTGGAGAAAATCTTGAAAATGTGGCATGCAAATGATGCAGAGTTTGTTGAGAGCCTGAAATAGCAGCTGAGCTATGAACTGCCCCACTCTTCTTGCAAATTCAGATGCCAATTACACTTGAGATCATTGTTAATTATACCCTTGTTCATGTAAGAAGCATATAAAAAGGGAAAGGAAGTGTATTAAGACCCTCATTCACATTTCTCAAAGTGCAAGGGGATAGGGAGAAGCACGAAGGATTACGCACAAGGGTGTGAGAAAAAGTTTTATATATCTTAATTTATATATAACACCACATGGATAGATTTCAGAGAGGGACTGATGAATTTCAGTTCCCTGAAAGGGGGAAGGAGGAACCTAAGGTTCAGCTTTCAAAAGTTTGGTGACCCAAAAATGCTATAAATGAAATGTAAAAACCTGTGGAATATATTAATGTTGTTATCCTGATTTCACAGGTGGAAGACACTGAGACTATGTCTAAACTACATCTGTCTTTCAAAAGAGGGGTATAAATTAGGCAGATTAAAAGTGCAAATGAAAGTGATACATAATTGCATCACAGCGTTCTTTCAAAAAAGGGTATTTTGAAAGGGAAACCATTGTTTAGACATGGCTCTTTCAAAGAAACCCCCTTTTTCGAAAGATCCTGTACTCCTCATTTTTTGAGGAGTAGAGGATCTTTCAAAAAAGGGTTCTTTTTTTAAAGAACCGTGTCTAGACAGTGGTTTCCCTTTCTAAATACCCTTTTTCGAAAGAATGCTATGATGTAATTATGCAAATGAAGTGTGGGATATTTAAATCACCGCTTTATTTGCACTTTCGATCTGCCTAATTTACATCCCTCTTTTGAAAGAGGGATGTAGTTTAGACCTGGCCATAGATATCTGGAGGGTGATTGACTTGTTCAAGACTGTACAGCGTCAGATTTGGAACTGGGATGAATTCCTGCCATCTAGTCCCATGTTCAGTCTACTAAAGAAAACAAAAAAGATAGTTTGTATGTTGCTTTAATGAATCAGATAGATCCCCAAGAATTAGTTTGAGAGGCTGAAATACCATATTTATGGTATAGTGCTGTTTTAGATATATTTAACTCTTCATCCCAGGTTGATTCTACTAGAGAGAACAGAAATTGGGGAGAAGGTTTGAAAGCTTTAAAAAAAACATTCTAAACTGTGAGGTCTTGTTACTTTCTCTAATCCTGGTTTATCATCTGAGGTTTGGTTAAAGAATATTATTTTTCTCCTGTTCAAAAAAACAAAGTGTTTAAAAAAAGATAAAGCACATAACATTTCCTTTAATTATTTCTTCTGACTGTAAAATAGTTGTATGATTTTATCAACTGTTCCCTTGATTTCTCTATTTTTTGCTACTTTTATTGATGAAATTTCGGATGGATTGCTCCTGAATTGCAACTGAGCAACCTAAAGCTTTGTGTTTAATAGTTGCAGAGAACATTTTTATGAGAGGAAAAGTTAATTTTATATTAACTAGTAAAACTACTATTGGTATTTAGTATTTGAGACAGATTTAAATGTAAATGTTTAAATCTTCCAAATGCTTTGGATACATGTTGTCACTTTATCTGAAATATTTTAAAAGACGCCCTTTGATAAATCCAGTATTTTGGCATATAATAAAAATATTTCAACACTATATTTACTACCCATAAAATTGATAAGACCAATATAAATGTCTTTTACATTTATATTTTTGTCTGCAATTCAGTGTCTAATCTGCATTTTTATTTGCTTCCAGTAGCCTCTAAAGCTTTCACATTAAATAAACAAACAATAAAATCAAATACCTCTTTTAAATCAAGAGTCTGAGTTAGGTCCCATTAACAAAAAAGTTTAGCATGTTATAAGACAGTTTAAATTTAAGTGAAATTACATGAAGTAAAATGCAGTTGGTTGATCATCAATGGACTGATGTTTTCAGCAAACAAATACTATTTTTGCTCTATACTGTTTTCAGTCCATTTGAGCAATCCAGTAAACACTGTGTAGTAGTGACATACAATATGAGATGGATATTTTAACCTGCTCATGATCTGGACAGTTTAAATCCTGTTTCACATAACATTTTTAGATGTAATTTTTAAGCTCAGAAGAGTTCAGGAAAGAAGAGGTTCACTTACAGCACCTGGGACAGCTCCTTATAGCATAAAGCTGTATACTGTATTCATTTCAAAGTGGTTCAGCACCAGGCTGTACCCCATACCAGGAACAAAACCCAACCCCTCTGCCAGAGAATTAATTGCCCTTTGGCACATTTGTGGTATGATATTCTCTGCTGTAGCTCCCTAAATCAAAAAGAAGCACATTCCAGCACTAAAGATAAAACACAACATTTCTCCAGGGATATCAAGTTTCCAACTCAATCCAGCTGTACCTGTCACCTGTGACATAGACCCACCTACAAAAATGCCCCTGGCAGCCTCCAGCTCATAAATGAGACCTAGAAGCATTGGCAAATGCTTCCACCAGATGGATTGATCTAAGGACAGCTTCTGGCTACAAGTGATCAGCTACTTGTTCAGCCTTGGGTCCATGGAACCGGTCCCTCAATCAGCAACAGCTAGGAGCTCCTACCACAGCCCCAATTAATACACTTCAGTCCCTTGGCTCTGGGGACCAAACACACCTCTAACAGCTGCAGAACCAAGATAAACAAACAAAACAACACAAAACCCAGTCCCAGTCTTTTTGAGTACAGAAGATACCAACAGAGTACTCACCATGTTGACTTCAGAAACCATGTCGATACTGGCAATGTCTATGTTCATCCCAACGCACACAGGAGGCCCTGGGGAGGGGGAGGAGAAGCCATCAGCTTACCCAGAGAGCGGCTGGCAACACGTTTTTCCCTAAAAGGAAACACTTTCCCATCCACACAGAGAGCTGGATAGTGACTCACACATACAGACACAGGAAAGAGCCAGACACCACAGTTCTGCCTGAATAAGGCAACTCACCTCCAAAATCCGGCCGGAGGCGAATGTCATAGCCTTTCAACAATTTATCCACAGTTTCTTTCACGAAGGACATGTTTCCTGGATCGTTCACGCTGTGGGATAAATGGCAAGTGCAGGTGGGAAGAAGGCAAGGTGGGGGGTAAAGAAAAGAAAGAGAAAAAGAAGGTGGGATGGAATAGGGGAGATAGAGTAGGAGATGAGGAAGCCGGAGAGAGCAGAGGAGGTATGGGGGTAGGAGAGGGCAGCGCAAAAAGGTGGACGGGCATTGAAGAGGGAAGAGCAGACGGGGAATGGGCATCAGAGAGAGGCGAGGGCAGAGCAGAGAGGGGTGGGGTGGGAGAGGGCAGAGCAGAGAGATATAGGGTTGGGGTGAGAGAGGGCAGAGCAGAGGGTAGGAGAGGTCAGAGCAGGGGGGAGAGAGGGCAGAGCGGAGGGGGGTGAGAGGGCAGAAGGGGCGGGGGAGGG